TCTTGCTAGCAAGTTAATGAACAAAAGTTCATTGCTTTACAAAATTTTACAAAAGATTTACAATGAAAGTTCAACAGCGTTTTAGAAGAATGATTCAGTGCAAAATTTCTTTCAAATTATTCTTCAAAGCGTTAGACATTCCAATTCTTCCAAGTCTTTCTTTTATAGCCAAAAAGAAATCAATTGAATGGTAGAATAGGGATATCAGAATTCCATCTATCTTCTTGCATAACGATCAGTGTGAGTGGTAGACAATATCGTACCAATAGTACAATCCTTTTGCCACAAAATCAGAATAGTGGAAGGAGGTGATCTTGTATTATTTTTCACGTAAAAACTTTTGATCTTATCTTTTAATCTTCAGAGGCTTCAGAATATGTATGAGTTGAAGCATGTTTTAAAAGGATCAAAACTTGTCTTTGGAGTCTTCAGAACTTGTTCATCAAAACCTTGTCTACAGAGTCTTCAGCACGTTGGTCTTCAGAACCATTGGTCTTCAGAGTGTTCAGAACTTGTTCAACAGAATCTTGTCTTCAGAACCTTGGAGCAAGAAATCCTAGAATCTTCAGAGCTTGAGAAGCCTTCAGAAGCTCTACCATCATAGTCACAGACAGAAGCTTTAAAAGTTAATGTCACATAACCGTTATTTTAAAAACATTCTTATCCTTGTAATACGCACTTGTATCACTTAGTGTTTTGAGTCCAGAGTCAGAACCTATTGGCAAAAACTAAACACTAGATAAAACCATTAAGGTACTAAATTGTTATCTAATCACCCATGTATTGTTATCATCAAAACTAAAGACCAGATGCATAATCAAATTTTGTTCTTACAGAGTGGTCAATGTTGAATATCTTCTTCCGTCAATCAACGATGATGAACATGTTCAGTTCACCAACATGCAATTTCAAAATGCGGTCAGTAATAATTTACAGAACCAGACAAGTTAAACGTTACATTAGTCAGATATGTCTATGTTACTTTTTGATACATCCTAAAACATTTTATAAAATCACAACATACATGATCGAACCTATGAAAAAAAAACTAATTTCTCTCTTTCACAATTTTGTTTGTGTTCAATTGATATATTTAATTTATGTTAATGAATTGTTGGTACATCTATACTTAAATTTAATTTAATGAAAAATTTATGTTCATTATATTAGTTTATCAGACTTACTATATTCGAATTCTAGAATTCAAATACTTTCAAAAAGACACTCAATATTAGAGAGAAGCCGTGATATTAGAGAGAAAAGGAAAATTTCACAAAAGTACAATTGATATTTATGATAATTAAAGTTCGACTCATTCTAAAATATAAGACCAGTAAGTTAAACTCATTTTGACAACTCTAACTCTAGGTTCAAGACACTATTTGAATTGAGTCATTACTAACAGCAACAACAGAAATCAAATTTTCAATTTTTTCCAAATTTTATACACTAAAACTAATTTTTAGAAATTCCACACTCTAAAATAGTTTTTAGAAAATAAATCACATATCATTAATCTATTATAATAAGAAAACCAAAAAGAGAACTTTTTTCGAGCTGGTGCCTTTATTAGAAGATTATTAAATCATAAATCTCAAAAATCTGGTAAAAAATAGTCTTTATTCTAAGTAGCATAGGACATCTACCAAATTTGAGTAAAAGGTCAATACTTAATAAATTTGTGACAAGTATTCTTAATAGTAAAAACCAAAATGGAGGTGTAAAGTAGCATTGAAGTAAAATCAAAATGGAGGTGCTGCCTTCATGTATTGATAGAGCTTCTCATAATTTTCCAAATCGGCTTGAGCCTCCGGAATCTTATCTTCAACATTTTTAACCTTGATGTGATCGTCTACAAGGAGATGGAAGATGGATTTAACTTCTTTATTCAAAGATGTGATCTTATCTTTCTCTTGATCTTGAATCTCAGCAATATTATCCCTGTCTACTTGTAGTTTTTCAAGTTTGGCTTTAAGATCAGCAATCTCACCATCAAGAGAGTTGAGTTGTGTCTGATGGTTTGTGAAAGAAGTTTGTGAGGTCATTATTTTCTCTCTTGTCTTCTTCAATGCTTCATTGTGTTTGTCCGTGCTTTTCTTAGCCGAGTCTTGCTTTATTTTTAAATATTCCATCTTTTCAAATATCCTCACAAGGTTGTTGAGAAGGTTTTTAACACCACCGAGTTGTTCTAATTGGTGAGAGGAAAAGAGGTCGGCATAGGCGTCAATTTTATCCATGATTAAGTTGAAGTCAATTTCAGGAGTGAGACCTTTTTTAAATTTTTCAACCAAATCTTGTTTAAACACACTATCACTCAATTCCTGAAGAAGTTGCTCAGGGAGTGAGAGTGAGACTTCTTGTCCTCGGACAGAATGCTGAGATTGTACTGAAATGGTAATCCCTTCTGATAAAACTCTGTCAATTGCAGCAATGACATTCTCATCTATCATAGCATTCATTTCTTCAGCTATAATGTTCTTGTTTTGCTTCTCCAACCATTTTTCATATTCAGATTCTTCGGCCGAGGGAACAAAAGACAACTGAAAAGAAAAATAAAAATGTTCAATTTGAGTTAAGCCTAGAAAAAATCTCAAAAAGAAAATACCTGAAGACGGTACACATATTCCAAATATGAAAGCACGTCAGGATAACGGATATGTTTCCCCTTATTCATTGCAGAAGCTTTCTGAAAGCATATGATATCACCATTTTCTAACTGCATTCAAGGAAAAACAAATCAATAGGAAAATCAATGATAGAATAACTTAGTGTGCACCAACTTGTTATGTACTATACCCGGTTTTCTAGAAATGTAAGATTCTTGTCTACAGGCTTCCACTGAATTTCCTGCACAGCAATAGGCACAATTAACTCAGTAACCACTACGTGATCAAAGTCATTGGTAGGGAGCAGACGATTGAGAACATGAATACGCCATTAGAAAATCTGACAACAAACCAACCTCATAAAGTTCAATCTCTTCATCCGGATCATAACCAGCCAATTTATTTAACCTTGTTAAGATTTCTGATAGCTTAACAGATGGGTTCACAAAAAGCCTTCCAACATATCTGCCATCAAAGGAAAATACATTTGGTGACAATTAAGGTCTGCCATTTACCCAACATTTGTTAAAATCACAAAAGAAATTATTCAGTACCGTAGCTCCTCTTTTTCAGGATCATATAACTTGAAAAAAAGTAATAAATCATCGTCTCCCTTCTTGAGTGGTGCAATGGGGCGTAAATCCTAAACAATAATGTAGTTTGTCAACAGGACTATGCTTGAATGATTTGTTTGATGCCATCGAAATAATATACAACTTCATAATATAAATAAATCTTACCAGCCCACGCTCCACCTCCAAAAACAATTTTAATTCTGCTTCTTTAACCTCTTTTAGTTCTCTCAATTGTCCAACCTGCAGTTTTTGAATCAGAAGGAAGAAAAAAAATGAACTTCAGATCATAGAGACACTGGTGTGCTGCACAGCACAGACAATGGATCTCCAAGAAAACTAAATACCCCTTTGCAATCATTACAAAAAAAAAAAGAGATCCAAAACAATTCATCCGGAAACCACTTGCATGTGTTGCGTATACGTTATGAAATTTGAAGAAATAAAAAGGTGGTGGCAAAGATGGAGTGAAAGATAAATAAAGGTAACACTGGTATAAGTAACTGTTGAACTGGCCCAAAAACTGAAATCTAATGCAATCAGCCATGGCGAACAATATACTAGCAGGTCGATATCAAATGTCATGAATAGATTCAACAGAAAACATAAATGAGGGGGAAAAGAGGCCGAGTATTTTCATACAAAACCAACATTTGCCTAAAAGCCAGCAATTGGAATTGAGAAAGTCATAAAATAAGAAGCTTGAAGGGGGTATATGAGCAAAATAATGTTGAAAAGCTTCATAAGATCTCAAGAATTTACCGGTCCAGCTTCCTCAATTTGAGTCAATGGCCGAAGTGAACGATATGCATGGCTTTTACTCTTTTCCCATAGCCAAAAGCGCTGGAATTGAACTGGTATGCCAAGCTCTTTAGCAACCTCTTCCTACATATCAGAGTTATAGCAATCAAACGTACAAATATAACACATATGTTGAATAATTATCAAGACTTCATAAACTATATTATAAATTACAATATCAAAAGCATTAAAAGCACAGAGGTTCATATGACATTTTTTTTCTCCTTCCAACTACATGGTTTTAATACTTTAGTATTATTTAAAAAAAACTGTTTTCTATGAGGATGCATAGAAAAATAATGATTTTATCTCTTTAGCAGTTCACAAACTACATTTTCCTGACTTCCACTATTCTTATTTTCTCCGTTCTATTTTTATATCATTCAGGATGGTATCAGAGCTTACAACTATTGGGCCATTAAGGGAGAAACTACACTGCAGTTTGAAATTGAGGACTTGGAAAATAAATATAAGTTTACACATAAAAAAATTTATAATTATGAAAATAAATTTATAATTTGATACATAAAATTATATATTATAATTTTATCTAAATCTAAAGAATAAAGAATAATATACGTAAAATTGTATTTTTAAATAAATATTATATAAAGAATACAATAAAATATATTTTATGAAAATAGTATAAATAAATAATATTTTATTTTTTTACATATTGATTTATAAAATTAAAATAAATATCATACAAAGAATATGATAAAATATACATATAATACATGTTGATTTCTCTAAAGAATTAAAGAAATATATATTGGTTAGTAAAATCTAACAAAATACACATTGCAAATTAAACCAAATCGCTTGGTTCCATTAGAAAATGACCCAAACACATCCAAATCAAATACGAATTTTTATAATTTCAATTTGATTTTACAGTTTTTTATTTGGCCGATTTAGTTTTGAACACCCTTACTTGATACATATTTAGACATAACTGTATTATTTGGACAAATTTGATTCCCGTTTTTCTCGATTATGATTAATTAGGCTAAGTCTACATAATCGAATAGTGTTTCATTTAGGGCTATTAAAAAAACCGCAGTTCAGTAAACCCAAACAGTCATAAGCAAACCGTAAAACACACAATCACACTGACGATTCAAGGACTCGGAAACCCAAAATTATTGCGAACAGCAAATCACATTCACCAGTCCCAAATCTCACTATACCCCGATGACATAAACCCCTAACCAGAATCATCAAATTACTGCAAACTGTTATTCATCTATTTCGGTTTGGAAAGGAAAACAGTTAGTTTCTTTCAAAGATAAACTGGTTCTTAACAGACTGCTACTGGTTCAGTTTGGTTTTATTAAACTGTTTTGACAGTTTGGGTCGGTTTGGTTTAATCAGAAAACTGAACCAATGAAGAGTCCTTCATGTACTTCAATCCTCAAATAACAAAATTCAGTTAAGAAAGTGTAACTGATGATGATACCTTGAAAAGGTTAAATGATGTGTCATTTGGAACACGGAAACTCTTCACTCTGTCAGGGTCTACAAAATATATATCATTTCCAATCTCTTCTGCAAGGTCTTCATCTTGTACCACCTAAAAAGTGTTATATATTATCAGTATAAAATAATATAAATACAATCTGATTGAGTAATTAACAACATTTTTGTAAAGACATAAACAATACTAGTTTCTAAGCAAGCTTAGAACACCTTCATAATAGTGCACAGGTCTTCCTGTTCTTCCTTCAAACACTCTTGCACAAACTCATCGGACAAATTCTGTGCAGATTTTTTAATAATTGTGCACAGCTCTTGTTGTTCTTTCTTCAACCTCTCTTGCACAAACCCTTCTGACAAATTCTGTGGAGAATTTTCAATAATAGTGCAGAGGTCTTCCTGTAATTTCTTCAACCTCTCTTGCACAAACCCATCGGACAAATTCTGTGCAGATTTTTCGGTAATAGTGCAGAGGTCTTCCTGTTCTTTTTCCAAACTTTCCTGCACAAACTCAGCGGAAAAATTCTGTGAAGATTTTTTGATAATAGTGCAGAGGTCTTCCTGTTCTTTCTTCGACCTCTTCTGCACAAACCCATCCGTCAAATTCTGTGCAGATTTTTTAGAATAAACCAAATTATAAGAATGACAGACATTGTTTCGATCAAGAACAATCATAAAATAAGTTATCCCTCCGAATTTGTAAAAAGTTAAACTTACAATAGATTCCTACATGGCTAGATTTACTTTGGACTCTAAAGTACATAAGAATATCTACTTACCCTTAAATGCTCAGCAGTGTCATTTTCATAAGCATCGCATATTACTAATACTTCAACCACAAGAGTATCATTCACAAGATACCCTCTTGAGGGATCATAAACCTCATCGAAAGGCATGAAGGACGTGAAACCCCAATCCCTCTGATGTTTGGTGAATTGCTGCTTCGTGACTACATAGAGCAAACAAAGTTAAGAAAACAACACAGCTATGAATATAATGTTAGAGGATCTATTTCCATTTTGTAACAACGGTAAGGAACAAACTGAACATGTCACGTTACCTTTTCTCCAAGAGAACATAGTATGGGTTTGACTTTCTACTGCCAGGCTAAACCGTGCAAATCTAGTCCAACCTTCGGGCAAACTAGATGAATCTGCAGCATGCAAATATATGGACAAACAGTTCACGTTGTTCCCTTTCGGGAAAATTAGCACACGCCTGTTCAGAGTGAAAATAAAAAACATCAAACGGAAGATATATAAACAAGAACAAATATAACAACAACTAATATATCATGTCTACTTATATTGAAATATGAACATCATGAATTGATTCGGAGGCATGTTTAAGCACAATACCATTTATAACCCCCAACTTCAAATACATCTGAATAGAGCTTTTTCGCAGTCATCTGAGAAAACCAGCCAATTCTCCATGTGAACCGGAAGGGCGTAGTTTTACTTCCATTTATGCTAGCTCCTGCCATCCAGCCTGTGATATTTTTCATGTTTAAATAAGAGAACCAACAGAACCAACAAGAACTTACAGGTTGAAAACCAACAAGGAATTATAGCCTGTTTGGGTTTAGGGGAAAAAATTGCTTTTCTTCTCAGGTTTCACTATTAACTAGAAAAAAATACCACTTGATTTACTACTTTATATTAGGGTTTAGGATTTAATACTTCCAAATATTAACAAGCGAATTTTCCCTAAACCCTAAAGTTGTTAGAGTTAGTTATTGCCGGGGAAAACAATAATCAAAATTTTAAAAAAGCTAACGTGAAAAAAACTTCACCAAAACGATAAAGAACAAATTGTGGTTAATTGACACCCTAACCCTACCGATTGAAATCGCAAAATTTTTTATGAGATCACTATTTAAAACCTTCACATAATAACTAACTTCATAAACCCTAAAGTTGTTAGAGTTAGTTATTGCCGAGAAGCCGAACAATAACTAATTCTAGCGTTCTAGAGTTAAAGCTTAACAGCACAGTTAAATACTACTGCTAACTAGTTATTACTCTGACAAACCCTAATTTGATAATATAATCGGAGAAAGCAGTAAATAGTACCTTCTTCTTCGCAATAGTTAATCTGTTTTCCAATTTTGGAAAAACTCTATGCATGCGATTATGGGGATACTATGGGGATACGTGGGATTGCTGCAACTATAAATATAAATAATCTCTCACTGTTTCTAATAATAAATATTAATAACTTGTTTCCTAAGATATCGTAACACTTTTGATTATTATAATATTTATATTAAATATTAATAACTGTCTCTCTGATTTTACGCAACAAGAATAAACCTATTTTCAAAGCCCAAATCTAAATGTTCAAATTTAAACAACATTAGTACTAATTTGTAGTTAAGAGTGTGAACTGAGTTTAGCTTAACATGTTGGTTATTCATCTATTCTATTGGTTTTGGATTCATCCTTCGGCTCCAATTTCGTTATTAAAATCCAAATCAACCAATTTGATTATTTATGGATCGGATTGAAGTTCATTTTTTAACGCACAAATTGTTTTAATTAACATCAAATTGAATCAATTCAATTTTTACGAATTAAGTTCGATTTCCAAATTATATATAAAATAAAACAAATATTTTTATAATTATTATTTTTTAATTATAAAAAGTTTGTAACACAATTTAATATAATTGTATAAATTTTTAAGCATTTAAAATGGATGAAATATATTATATAATATCTAATAAAATTTATAAATTGAATAAATTTTCAAATATTTAAATTGAATGAAACATATTATATAGTATCAGTTAAAATTTATTTCATATATCATAATTATCAAGTGCATCCCATAAAACACACGGTGTCTATTAAATGCAAAAGTTGGACGATATTTAAAACTAAAATTATATAAATTTATTGATGGAATATTAGTTAAATAAAAGTATTTCCGATGAATGAAAAATTAAGACAAAAAAAGTAATTTGTAATCTTATACTATTTTTTTTTTATAATGAATAAAATATTTTAATTTTACGTCAACGAGTTAAAAAACTCAAACCCAACATCAAAACCAAAAATATGAATTGTTTTACGAATTGAGTCGGATATATTTGTCAATAAAAAGATTCGGATAATTAATGAATTGATTCAATTTAGGTCGTGGATTCGCGAGTCCAACCCCATTCAAGAATACACCTTACTTGTAATAGTATTTATTTTACGTGTCAATTCTTATGAATTGTTATTGACAATTACAACAAAGACTGTATTCTTTTCTTTTTCTAATATTTTTTTTAATCACTTTTATGTAAAATTTAGTAATTTGTTTTTATATTTTTTTATCAAACAATGTAGTGATTGAAATCTTTATTTTATATATATATATATATATATATATATATATATATATATATATATATATATATATATATATATAGATTAAACAATGTAGTGATAGCAAAATATTCTTATATCAGTAAATTAATAATTAGCAGGCAGTGTAATAAAAATTGTTGGTAGCAGTGATATATGGAAGTAATAGCAATAGATACTTAGCAAGGATAATTAGTAAATTGCAGAATTAATAACTGATATAGTTTTAGTTGCAGAACTAGCAGTAAATAACAGTAGTATTAGTATCCGAAATGTATTAACAGTAGAGATAACTTAAGTAACAGGAAAATAACAGTTTCATTAATTTAGCGGAAAACTATTAATGAGGATTAACAACAGGATAATTTAGTGGGAGTACTTTGGTAGGAACGTGTTAATAACATTATTGGCATGTGTAAGCTGTTGTGTTGTTGTTACTAATTATTGAAGTTGCAGGTGATGAATCGTGTTACCTCTATTGATTGACATTTATTGAGTTGTAGGCCTATGACCAACATTGATGTATGTTGAATTTTTATTGGTTGTCGTTGTTACCTTAATAATATTGTCGCATACATGGCATATCATGTTGGAGCTGATGCTCATTAAGTTGGCCTGGATTGGCAAAAACAAAAATATTAAGTTGAAGGCTTATGCCTTGTTGATGCCTCTATTAATTGGCAAGATTTCTAAGTTGGGAGTTCTGCTTCATTGGTACCACATGCATGTGCATAGTAATGAGTTGCATTCCACGTTGCATATTCGAGTTGTTGTGTTGATAAACTATTTAATTATGTTTCATGGATCTTCTGTTGTGATTGAAGTTGTTCAAAGTTGTGAATAGGTGATTTTGCATAGACTAATTCTAATGTAATATTTATCATATATTCGATTATATTGTTTGATATTTCACCCCCTTCTATTTGAATGTTACCCCGATGTTGGTAACGTGCAGGTAATCCAGAGTAAAGTTGGTTTACCTTCAGTAGTTTGAGTCGGTGTCATTGCTCTGATACATAACACTCGGGGGGGGGGGGGGGGGGGGGGATGAACGCTTGTTATTTTATTGTTGATTATTTCAGTTGATTGAACTTAAAGTTGTTGTTCGTTAGATATTTGTTATTTGAAGTTATTTCAGTTGGATAAAGATGTTATATCATTTTTAAGTCAAATATTATGATTTTGCTGCGTAGTTATGACAGTTGGTGGTTTAAAAGATTAAAATATGTTATTGTTGGTTCATTCCAGTTTAATGTGTTATGAATCTGCAATGAATGTCGTTGTTTTATGTTGTAATTGTAGCATCCTGATTCAGTTGTCGGAAATTTTATAACTCCGATTTTTATATTAATTGTCGGGTAGAATTGGGGTGTTACAGTATCAATAACCATACTTCCATTCATATCATATAACTTGATATTTAATCTCTTAACACAATCAAAATCAATGAAAGAATGTGTCGTTCCAGTATCAATTATAGAAATCAAAGGTGTACTATTAATGAAGCACATACCTCTGTTTAATTTATCTTCAATAGTAGTAGTCTCAGAACCTGACAGAGCAAACACCTTCCCTCTAAATGGAGTCTTCTTTGGTTTATCATATTTGGTACTAATGTTCCCTTGCTTGCATTGTTGTAGCAAGTCACATTTGTAACGCCCCAATATTTAATTATTTATTTAATTAAATATTTTTTTGAATATTTTATTTTAATTCAAATTTTTATCGTTAAAGTCGGGATTATTTTATTAAGTTGGAATAATAATTAATCAGGTTTATATAGGTATAAATAAGTTGAAGTAGCATTTTACTAATAAGCTTAGAATTGATGTTGGGCTTAAGTATGGTGTCGCGAAGTAATAAGGGAGGTGTATTGATTAGGCCCATTTAAGTTACTAAGAATTAAATAATAGTATTTTATTAGAAAATAGAAGAAAAGAGAGAAAGTAGTGTTATCAGGAAAAAAAGAAAAGAGAATAGGGTTTTGTGAGAAGAGAAGATGAACGAGAAAGTTGCTGCTAGGGCAAATCTCAGAAATTCCATTGAACCTCCTTGAGTGCTTTCAAAATCAAACCAGGTAAGTGTGGGTTTCTTATCCTATAATGGAGTATATGATATTTGTATGCGGGAGTTTGTATGTGGAATCTTTAGTGTTTCATTGATTTGTGTTGGTTTATGTTGTTGTGGTAAGCATGATCAATATTGTTTTAGTTATAGAAATGTCAAAGAAGTATGTGGGTTGTTGTGTTAAGCGCTTGTCTTGTTTGGGTTTGGATTAGGAGACAGGAGAATTATTGAAGCAGTGTAGAAACTACGCATAGAAAATAAGTATAGGAAATAAGAAAAAAGGAAATGAAAATGAAACTGGAAGTGGAAGTGTTGTCCGGAACTTGTTGTGCCATGGGGGTTGCCGTTCGGCAACCTTGGGAGAATGAGAGAAGTGTCGATCGGCACTAGGGCAATGGTGGGAGAAAAAGTGCCACTTTGGCACTGTGAGGCAGGGGCACTTGCTTCTGTCTCTATTTCTCTGTTTTGTCTTTCTATGGCACTATGCTGCATAATTTTTAAATGATATCAGTAATTGCTAATAGCAGTATATATGAATGTCACTGTTTTCTGTAGCAGTAAATTAAATTTAGTTGCTAGAAGCTAGTTTTATGTGGAAGAATGGCACATCCATTAGTTGTATAATAAATTAGTAATTTTAGGGAAAACAATTAACAGTGGACTATATATATTTTAAATGGCTGAATTAGTATTTTATTAGTGATGAAATAATTTAGTAGTGGAATTAATTTAATTAAGTTGGCAAATAATTGGAAACGAGTCGATTAATTCGGTATGTTGGTGTATTGATGTATTTTGCGAATTGACCGAAATGTCGTTTTGTTTCGATATCTCCGTGGTGAATAAATGTTGCGATTTACAAAATTGTTATGATAAAGATTTACCTTGATTAATTGGTAATAACTGTGATATAGGCCTTTGGTCAATGTTAAAGGTGTGAATTGTTGTTATGTCGACCTTTATTATGTTATTGTCGTTGTTGTGTTGCCAAGTTGTGGTTGTTTATACCATCGCATAGCATAACATAACATTAAAGTTGGCCTGAATTGGCATGTTCTAAGTT